CCCCCACTCACCAAGTCCCATTTGTGTTGCCCATATACTTACTGGAGCGTGGTCAAACTCCCAGTGGCCAGCCCCTTAAAGAAAACCGAGTTGCATCCCCCCCCACCCCACCCCCCACCCCCCGCTCCCAGAAGCCAACAGCTGTGAAGAGCTACACTTCAGCATCTGTATCACAGCTTTTAAGGACTCTCTTCAACAGCTTCCTGTCTGGACTGTTTCTCTTCTTGAACTGGCTTACTCCTGGGGCATTTTTTGGGGGGGGGGTGGGTGGGCAGGGGGTGGGGGGCAGTTGTCACAGAAGCCTTCAATGTCTCTCTTAGCTATGAGTCTGCAGTCATTGATACCACTGCCAAAGAAGCTTCCTTGACAACAGCAGTGCTGGCAGCATGGATCAACACGCCCTAAGCTTTCAATCAGCAGTGAAAATAGTCACCAGGGCAGGCCTGCCCACTGCCGCTGAGTTCACACCTCCACCCTCTGCTCGTCCTCCCCACCGACACACTTGATTTGGGGCAGCACAGTGCTGAGGTAATCGTTTTCTTATCTCAGCCTATCAGGCTCGCCTCCTTCCCAGCCTCCTTGCAATGTTCCTTGTTGATAGCGGTGGCCACATGACATTCTGGCCAATAAGTAGAAGTCCTCTGAATGTGGGGTTTCTGGGAACTCTCATTTTCATGACAACGGGATGTATTAGAAGACAGAAGGCTCGCAGGGACCTCCCCCTTCTTACTGTGAGATAATATCAGGTGCTCTAGTAACTCTCTTGACAGCATGAGGTAATGGGCATGCGGCAAATATTCATACCAGAGACCCTGAGAACAAAAGCTTCTGAGTCATGAGACCAAGCCTAGAACTACCTACGTTCGGATTTCTGCCTGTGTGAGATCACTGAATGGCCTCCTTGTTTCAGTGACTGAGGCTGCCTCTCCCAGGGCTTGCATCTCAATGTGCTGATGGTGGAGAGGCACTGAGCGCTGACCCATGTCTGCAGCTCCCCTTCATCCCCCCTCCCCAGCAATGTGTTAGCTATGGCTTGAGGGAGACTAAGTAGCTGGACCACATCTTCCCAGCCCTCTTTTAGCCCTTACCCACTTTTAGCCCTTTAGCATCTGCTTGATCGTCTTTACTTTTTATCGAGTTCTTTGTTACTATCACTACTACTATTATTATGTGTGTATGTTTATATATGCACAAGTGTGTGTCATGCCATATCTGTGGAGATCAGGTGACGGTGGGAGTCAATTCTCTTCTTCTGTCATTCGGGTCCCGAGGCTTGAACTCAGGTCATCAGGCTTGGCGGCAAGCACCTTTTCCTGCTGAGCCGGCTCATCAGGGGATCTTCCGCTTGATTTTTCTATATTGTTATGTTTTCTATCCTAGTTCGATGTGAAAGCTTCAGGTCCGAGGCTGGGCCCTTTCCCCTTCTGGCATCTACTCTTACACTGTGTAGAAAGGAGCTTCTCGTCTCTCTCTCTCTCTCTTTTTTTTTTCTTTTTCTTTTTTCCCCGGAGCTGAGGACCAAACCCAGGGCCTTGTGCTTGCTAGGCAAGCACTCTACCACTGAGCTAAATCCCCAACCCAGAAAGGAGCTTCTCAACGGCTGGGGTGGAACGAGTTCCAAGGCATCTTTCCTTTCTCCACAGCAGCACAGAGGGAGGTAGGCATATGGGGTTTATCTCCTGAAGATACACATTCGCTGCCTTCTTGGTTCTTAATTGGAGAACAGAAGGCCTATGGGTCCTACAGAGAGTTCTCCACGCCAATCCCTAACACTGGGATGGGTCGTCCTTTGGATTTTGGTTGCATACTGGTATTTTCACTTCTGTACCGCTTAGACACATAGTTCTGTGGGTGTCTGTGATGGTTGGCTTGGAACCCCCCTCCCACAGGTGTCGGTGTTAGGTTATTCTGTCGTGATTCAGTGAAGTGGAGCCTTTGCTGCATCTGTGTGTGTGTGTGTGTGTGTGTGTGTGTGTGTGTGTGTGTGTGTGTGTGTGTTAGGGAAAGGGTACTGGGGTAGAGTGCAGGGCACTGCCCAGGCTGGCAAGCCCTCCCACCCTGTGCCCCTCCTGTGTGCATCCTCATCACCAGCGTGGCATCTTCCTGGACTAATGTCACGATGGGCTTTGCCCTCAACTCTCCTGTGATGGACTCCTCCCTCCCCAAACCCTGCACCGCTCGCTCATTCTTTCCCTGCAAGCACAAGAGCCTTTTGTGGGGCCCAAGATGTCATTCCAACACAGAGCTTTGTACCAGCAACTGTGGGTTCTCCTTAAGGTAACTGTGGGTGGCCCTCCATTTATTTTCATGCTTCCTTTTTGTTTCTGCGGATTCTGCCCTCCATCCCTCCCTCCCAGCACATGCCGTCCATGTCATCTGAATGGCCACTTAGAGAAGGATCAGAAGTTTGTTGTTTCATTTCCAGCATAAATCAAAACTTTGTGTTCGTGCTGTGATGCGGAGTGAGTCCAGGAATAGCTTTGGGATTGCTAAGTGTCTGGAGAGCACCGACTACAGACATGTTTTGAAGCCGGTCATAATAGTTGCTACAGCTGTTAACAGTTCCTGAAAGAATGGCAGCATTATCCACCAGGCCTTAAAATGTGCCGGACTTGCATTGCACAGAAGTCACCCTGGGAGAGATGGGGATTTTTTTTTCTCCTTTCTGAAACCCAGCCATAAAAAGTCTTCAATAACTAGAGAAATTCCTTTCACTGCTGAATCCAACATGAAGGACATTGTGTTGTGACAATTCCGCATCACAGCCCATGAACGTTGTCTTTGTGTGAGTGGATGTACGGGCTGTACTGTTTTGTTTTTATTTATTCTGCATTCTTTATTCTAATGTCCTTTCCTTTTTCCTGACCAGAAAGATTGTTATTGAGCCCTTCACAAAGCTCAAATCCTGCAGTGTGTTAAAAAATGTTAACAATTCAAAGAAGTTATAAAAATTTATAAGTTGGCTGGATGCTTGGGAAATATCTGCATATTTTAATATAAATAGATAATGCAAATATTTGTTCACTGCATTGAGAGATGAGCCTCTGTTTTCCAAAAGGCCCTGCTATTTAAATTTGATTTATTTGATTACATTGAAGTAAAGGGTGCCCGTAGTGAATGAGGCCAAAGATGAAATGCCACCGTTGTGGGCAAATGAGAGAAAATAAGTTAGCCATGCTGTTGCATTGTGGGGGCTAAACAATCCCTTCCCAGCAGTCGGGTTGCTTTGTGATTAGAATTCTCATGAAGGTGACTTGCTCTTACTCATTTTTTTTTTTTTTTGAGTCTTCCAATTTAAGGTTTGGGGTTTAGATTAGCTCTCTCCCTCCCTCCGTCCCTCCGTCCTTCCCTCCCTCCTTCTTTCCTTCCCGTTCTCTCGACAGTTTTACTGTCTCTTTAGAAGATGAACTGGCAGGACTGGGGAGATGAGATGGCTCAGCAGGTGAGGGTACTTGCCGCCAAATCTGATGACCTGAGTTCGATCCCCAGGACCCACATGATAGAAGGGGAGAGCTGACTCCTGAAAGTTGTCTTCCAACTTCCACACGTACTTAGTGGCGTGCACAATCGCATGCACCTGCGCACACACATAAATGTAATGAAAAGTTTTTAAGTGTATTGACAGACGTAAGCATGGGCTGGGTGTTTTGAGGGGCTAACCATACAAAGAAAAGTAGGTTGAGTAAAAATAATGATCAGGTAAGTTTGAGGGGGCTGCCCTGCTTGGTTTCCATATCAAGATACACATTTAGAGTGAGCCTGGGCCAGAGGTCTGTGGAGAAGGATTAGGATTCAGGGTTCTAGGTCTTTCTGAAGTTCAAGTCAAGGTTGTTAGTAGAGACCTAGAGGATGGGTGGAGCTCCACAGGACAACCTACCAGGTAGGGTCTCCCCATCTGAGGGGAGACCCAGAATGCTCTAGGGATCAGACTGTGGCCGGGATAGCTGGCATTGCAGAGGCATCTCTAGGAAGCAGCTTTTTCCACAGAGTGAGTGACAAGTCAAGAGGGTGCCCTCAGGGGATGAGTCCAGACAGTGGCTGAAGGGCAGCTCTGGAGTTAAGACACAGGAGTTACAGGGCTCAGCTTTGATGTTCGCAAATGCAAAAGCAAGAAGGTATGAATGTGTGCCTTCAGAAGAAAACTCTGCAAAGTGCTACCGAGTGGTCACACCTCACATTCCCCAGCACCAGCTTTACCCGCCAAGGTTCTGGGGATAGGAGAGACCAAGGGGGAGAAGAGGACAGGACAAAGCCTACACCCAGGACTGAGCAAGTCTACCCATACAAACATACAAACTGTCTCACAGTGTCCTCCGGACAGCCATTGGCTGCCATCCCACACTGTGGCAAACTCACTCTCCTGCTATCCAGGGTCCAGGTTACATGCTCCTCATGCCCCACAGCTCTCTGAGGCTTGTGGGAACCCAGGACACCTGAGGAGTCTGGACTTCCTGGGGAAAGAGGCTTGGGGAGGAATCCATTGATAATGTCTCGGGGGAGAACTCAAAACAGAGACTTTTGCTGTCCTGAACCAAGAGGCCCCATTTGACTGAGAAATAGTATCAGCATCTGATATTGCGGAAGGCTGACAGTGTGCCGATCGTTTGAGAGCTTACTTAAAAGGAAATGGCAGAACTGAGCCCGTGGTACACGTCTGTCATGGGAGGCTGAAGCAGGAGCATTGAGTACTAATGGTTAACCTAAATGACACAGAGAGCCTGTCTCAAGAAAAACAGCATGGCCCTGGAGAGATGGCTCTGGGGTTGAGAGTATTTATTGCTCTTGCAGAGGACCCAGGTTTGGTTTTTAACACCCACCTGGTGGCTCACAACCATCTGTAACTCCAGACCTCCTTTTTACAGCTTGTGAGAGAACCAGGAATGCATGTAGGGCAGGCAAAACATTCACACATATAAAGTAAATAAATTTTTTTAAAAGGTGAAATAAAATCAGCTGTAGCATAAACAACAGAGAGAAATTGTCAAAATAGCCCAGGAAACACACGGGGAAACTATTTTAATCCTGTTGTTTTCAGACACTAGTACCCTGGGTGCTGGTGACATCTTCCTCTGGCCTCTCCTTGTCTCCATAGTCTTTGTGGTCTCCAATGAAAGAATTCCAAAGAGACATACTGAGTAAGGTATAGAACATGATCTTGGAGAAGGAGGCAGATTGAAAGATTTTCCTTGTGAAAGGGTATATCTATGCAAATATAAACAATTACATAAGAATATTTAAGAGTATTTAAGAGTATCTGAAATCATGCATCCATTATGGAGTCTCATGATGCTATCAAGTGGCTGTGTATGTTTGTGTTTATGTATATGTGTGTATCGGGGTGTGTGTGTATGTGTGTGTGTGTGTGTGTGTGTGTGTGTGTGTGTGTGTGTGTACAATCATATTGTAAAATATAGGAAAGGAAGTATTGAGGGGCAGATGAGGGAGACCAATTGGCTAGTGGCAACTATACCTGACTCATCTCCACTTCCCATCAGGACTTGGTTTCTTTACCACCTCTCAACACTCACACTCTCTGCTTGGGCAAGAATCCAGGTACTTCCAGGACTGGGGAAATCCTTTCATCGTGTTTTTTTCTTAGGCAGACTTCAGGGTGGGGCTTGGGAGAGAGGAAGGAATGAGGCGGAGGAGTGAGGGGGTTCTCCGAATGCGGCAGCATTTGGCAGGGGCGGAGAGTGGTTTGTGTCAAAGAGGGGTACAGATAAAATTCTGGGGATTCTGAAGGAAAGGCGACCGTAAGGACCACCAGGAAAGATGTTCCAGAGAAGGTGACCTAGAAACTGGGCCTGAAAGAGTATGTAGGATTTCTTTATTTTTACTTTTTGGTAGGCGTGGGTGGAAGAACTTTCCTTCGGAAAAACAAACAAACAAACAAGCAAACACCCTGTTCAAACAGGCACTGCACCACAAAATGTGTGTCTGAAGACAGGAGCATGCTTTCTCTCATCCACCGCTCTTTAGATCCAGAGGTTAACAGCACCATGAACTCTTGCTATGTTCTGGCTGGTGGCCTGCCCACTGGCCACCCACCCTCCCTCCCTCTCCTTTCTGCCTCCTTTCATTTCCATCATCTCTATGGTTACTTTACTCCCCCACTTTCATTATACTGTGTCCTTGATCTTGTTTTATTAAGTGCTGAGAGCGACATTCTCCTCCTCAGGCTGGCTGCCTTGTGACCAGGATGGACGTTGTGTTGGTGACTTCAAAAGCTAGGTCATGAAATGTCAAGAAGCCTCCTTCCAGAACCATCGGGACCCTCACCTTTGGAGGCTCAGCCACCATGTGGGGATATTGGGATCCAGGCTGGGGTGAAGGCCAGCAATACCACCCGGAAATGTGAATGAAAGATGCTCCTGAACTGAGTCTCCCTAGGTTGTCAATCCTTTCTACAGCCACCTTAGGTGTCACTGAGCAGAGCAGGTCAACACCACTGCATCCTTTTCAAAATCTTGGCACAAAGCAGTCGAGCATAATGAATTGGTTTATCAAGCTAAACCCAGACAATTGGTGCATACATCTGCGGCAACCATCACAGCCAGCGGTGAGGCTCTCTTCTGGTTCACGGCTTTCTGTTCGGTAGAGAAGGGAGGGTGGGGATTATCGACTCTTGACAAGTCCTGGTTGGCTGATTTACACCTGCTGTCTCATTCCATTTTTCCTAGCACCGCGAGATAAATAAATATCATTGGCCTAATTGTACAGGGGGCAAGACTCCGAGAGGTTGAGTGGCTTCCTCGGGGCCACAGACTTAGTACATAAACCCAGTTTCTGCAGGGTTCTCACACCTCTCTACCATCCAGTAGAGCCCTCAGTGTGAATCCCAGAAGGACTGTAAGTAGTCCACTCTGACTACCACCCAGACCAAGATCTGGGGAGGCAGATGGAGGGAGGGGTACGCTTCCTGCCTCCCAGATACTTTAGTCTAATCGGTTTATTCTTTGTATCAGTAAAATCATTAATATCTGCTACTGGTAATGTCACAAGTGCCCCAATTGGGGACTATAAGGACTATGAACCCACCCCCCCCAAGGTGTATTTAAAACAGAACTTTTTGAGTAGAACAGAATGAGGTGCTATTGAGTGACTGAATCATCATGAAGGTCACAGCCATTATGTCTGAATTAACAACCCCAATCATACCTCTACCCAAATAAACAGGCCTCAAATGACCGTGCCTGGACAAAAGAGCAGTGGCCACAGTCCATATCTCTCTTCAGGAAAATGTGAGTGATGGGCCTAGTACACGGGCCAGGCTTCGTTTCTCAAAAGTATGGTCCACCAACTATGAATGGCTGATTGGTGGGGAGACAGGCTAAGATGATCACACTTCATCATGACCATTTTTATAGGTAGGCCCAGGACTCAACATTTTTAGCAAGCTCCTATCAAATTCTGTTACATCCTGAAGATGGGGGGTTTTGAGATTATAGACCTAGGACCTGAGAACCCTGAGCTACTAGAGAAAGCTAACTGATTTGAGAGTGTTGTTCAGTTAGCCTGTTTCATTTAAAATTGTGAATGCATGCCGGGCGGTGGTGGCGGTGCACACCTTTAATCCCAGCACTCGGGAGGCAGAGGCAGGTGGATCTCTGTGAGTTCGAGGCCAGCCTGGACTACCAAGTGAGTTCCAGGAAAAGGCGCAAAGCTACACAGAGAAACCCTGTCTCGAAAAAACAAAAACAAAAAACAAAAAACAAACAAATAAACAAAATTGTGAATGCATTGAGACTTTGGACCAGGGGAGGGGTTTGCCCCCCCCCCAAGGCCGTGGTCACCTCATTTAGTGCTGTGGAGAGGTGACAGAGATGACATTGATCTTAATCCCATACTGCCTATGCATGAGTCTTAAACCCACCTACCAGGATGAGGAGAGTTGCTTTATTTTATTACGGAAAGGATGGTGGGGTGTGATTGGACATCAGTATTTTTCTCATTATTGTCTCTGCCATTTAGGTTAATCTCATAGAAGAGTTGCCACACACTCTCTAATAAGGAGCTACAGAAACAGAGTGGCTGTGTGGACCAGAGTCTGTTCCATTCTTGCCAGCTGGAGCAGCACTGGACAAATGGGAGCGTGAGGCCGGAACCCCACAGACTGAAGTGAGTGAAGGCTGGAGACCTCACTTTGCCTCCGAATTTGCTAATGTGCAAACAGGACATGGCAACAGGCTGAGGAAGCCCGAGAGGAAATCTGGAGTTGAGTTTTGGGATCATCAGGGCCAACTTTCTTATTTGTATAGAGGAGTAAACTGAGGCACAAGGAAAGGGAATTGCAGTGCTAAATCCTGGCTCTTACACTTTCAGGCTGTGTCATCTAGGAAAACTCACTTGTTTGCTCTGAAATGTAGGATGTCAGCAGGGCTAACTGTCTGTGGGCTGAGTGAGGGAGACACAGGGACATGGAGAATGGAGCCTGGCTTGGGGACAGAGTTACTGTTTGCTGCCCAGGTTCTGCTTAGCAGCCTTCACAGAGCTAGCAGCTGACGGAGTCAGGCCCAGACAGACCTGGCTGCATTTTCCAAAGCTTGAGCTGCTGTGGTATCCAGAATCTCAGCATGCAGGCTCACTGGATACCTGCATTTCCCAGTGTGGTCAAGTGCTATTTTAGGAACTTTCTCTACAGAAAGTGCCCGGGGACAATGGGCTCTGGCTGGCCGCCTCCAGCCTCACAGTCTGTTCTCAGGGGTGGGTGGCCTCTATGTCCTGTCTGTCTGTCTGTGTCCCCAGGTGCCCTGTACAGCCACCCTCTTCCTGCTTGTCTGCTACACGGGACACAAATGTGGGACTGAGGCCTCAGAGGCTAAGCCACTTAGTAGGGATCTGTTCCTCAGCAGCAAGCTCTCCCTGAGGTTTGGGGTGTGGGACAAGAGGCTTCTGGCTGTGAGGTTTGAGAGAGTGTCTAATCCCTAATCTCTGCCTCTCTTTGCTCCTCTGTCAGAGCTTGAGCAGGAATGCTAGCCTCACGTGATGGTCCTGAGACTCTGAGAGGACTGGGCAAAGCCACCACCGCCCGGCATGCATTCACAATTTTAAATGAAACAGGCTAACTGAACAACACTCTCAAATCAGTTAGCTTTCTCTAGTAGCTGCCCATACCCTGTACACAGTAGTGTGTCTGTGTCAGTAACTTTTAACCCAGCTTTGTGAATTCAGGAGACTAGGGTATAGCGAGCAAAGAACTGCAATGGTATTTTAAATAATCACAAAGAGAAAAGGTCAAAATTGAGAGCTGATTGAAAATATAGTATGGTCTTAGAAAGTCAAAGAAATTGACCATGATTCTAAGAGAGAGACAGAGACAGAGAGAGACAGAGGAAGCAACTTTAAACCTGTTTTTTCTAGCTCTGTGAATTCCTCCTGTCTTTCCACTTCTGCCTGGGTTTGTCATCGTTGTTTAAGACATTGTCCTAAAAATAAACATGCCAGGAGGGTCTATAAGGCTGATAATCTTATATTGCATGACTTCAAGGGGAGTTTTGATTAACAATAAATCCTATCAATGGAGTTCATTTGCATTTATACTCATAAATCAGATAATGGAAGCCTGCTGGTCACAGTATAGTAGACAAGCAAAACGCATTTTACTGGGTTTCAAAGTGGAAGTAAAAAAAAAAACTCTCTTTAGAAGAGTTGCTGAATCAATGTGGATGATGACTGACCCAAGACTGGCTTCTTAATCCTCCTCCTTTTGTGCATGGTCACTACATTATTCAGGATGAGTCACGTGATGCTGAGGTAACAAACACCCCCAAGGCTCCCAGAGACAGAAACAAAATCATTTCTTCTGTAAGTGACATATCTCTTATCAGTTTGTCTGGGCCCCAGGAGGCCAGGCTGAAGCAACTTCTGTGGACCACACTGCCAGTTGTCATGGTCTAGGGACACAGTGGTAGACCCTCTGGTAAATCAACAGCTTCCACCTGGAAGTAGCGCACATTGCTTCAGATCGGAGGTCAGGGCCAAAGCAAGGACATATCTAGCTGTTACAAAGTGGAGAAGCGTTCCTACTTTGGGTCTGGGTGAACAGCTACATCTACACACACGCTTTTGTGGCCACCAACTCCTGGTAGGTTATTGACCTGCTCTTTGCTGTCTTCACAGCGCCAGGCTGCTGTAGAAATGGACCAGTGTTGGGTGCCTGCCTGACCGTGGTGCTGAACATGTGACTGGAACAAAATGGGAAATGGCGTCAGAAAATTTGATCTTCTGTTTCATTTCCTCCTTTGGCACCCCTCCTTCCTTGACGCTGGGCTCCATGACTGGCATGATCCTGGGTCGCCATCCAGCCTCTCCAAGCATCTGTCTTGCAGATGGCAGATGGGGACATTCTTAGTCCTCTATGGATCATGATGGACATGCCAAGGATGGTCAATAAGGACCTCCAGTGCCCTTGCCTGGGGTTCTTGAGTGCCCATCAAGGCTGAGTTTTCCATCCATCCTGCCATTCAAACTCCTCCTGGGCACACAGTCTACTCTGATCTCTCCACTGCTACTCCCCTCCTGTTTCCATGGTAAGATTTCCTGTTTGTGTCTGGCTTTGTCCCAATGTTCTTGTCTATGAACTAGGGTAACATAATCCCTATTAACTCGTGGATTGCTGTAGGTTAGGAAAGATCCCTTCATATCCCTAGTGACTGGCCAGCCTGAAAGAAACTCGCCAAAGCAGGCTAATGGCAGCTATAGATATATAACATGCTCAGATGAATATTATTTTGAGAAACCATCTCACATGATGGCCTTTCCCCCAACTTTGAAAGACCATCAAGACTGTTGCTTCTGAATGGCTGAGGGGTCTGCTCTGCTTGAGGGTGGATGGGTATGCCTCCCTTTTTGGCTCCTCAAGAGGCCCTAGAACACATGTATAGATTTCAGGCTATCTCTGTTGACTTGAGTCTAAGCCACTGGCCTTACTGAAGAGAGGCTGAGGCCAGAGAGAAGAAGGGATGAAGGATTCCAGACAGATTGGTTGAGGTCAGGCGTAGGAGACCAGGTTACCATCATGTTTCTTGACATACCTGCCTCGAAGAAGACGCCAGCAAAGAAAGGGGTCATTTCTGATGATTCACAGATCTTTTCATAAGCAGATTTATTTTTCCTTGTAAGGCTCTGGGTGACTAGACAGAGATAATAAGATTAAAAAAAAAAACAACTTTTTTCCTCTAAGCGACTGGTTAAAATGTGGTACAGGCTGTGAGTTACTCAAGGTCATTATTGTGTGATGGGTTATCAAAGGCCTATGCGAAATGTGTGGGACTTTTATGAGCTTGTTTTTATTATAGTAGACTGTCTGAGGGCCCCTTTTGTACAAAGTGCTTTGAAAGTTCTAATGGGACCCCATAATCATCTGTGTGATTATGAAGGTCAAATTGTGCCGAACAAACCCCAGAGCTATTTTTGACCAAATTAATGGATGAACAGAACAGAATATTAAAAAAAATATATAATTTTGTTGTTGTTGCCCTTTGAGCCTTGTGGGCACAATGAAATCTCTCTTGCAGCCGAGAAAGTGGCTGCTGTCACACATTTTCCCACTTCTCTTGTTTTCTGGTATCACGGCCACCATATCTACCCTGGACAGCAGGGCAGTACCTACCTGGCACAAAACATTTAGGGTCCCCATGAAAAGGATTCAATTTTTTTGCAATCGAAAAGAAAAAGACATGAACTTTCAGGTGGAAGAACATGTGGTCGATAATAGGACAGTTGTCTGTATCCCAGCATAGCCACGAATAGATTATTCATAGAATATTGTGAAGGACGGGGCCATGCAAACAACACCACTCAGTGCCCCTGAAGGTCTAATGTGTGCCCCTCACTCCCGTTGGCAGCATGGGGTCTGGCTGAGAAGATTTACTTTCACTGGGTTCAAGGTGAGGGACAGGGCTACACTAGGTTTGGGACGAGAACTGGCTGAGTAGCCACCTCTGTTTGCCGAAGTGTGTCTGCGCCTGTCCCTGTAGCCCGAGTCCCGGGATGCTCTTCCACCGCGAGGCCTGTGCTTCCAGCCTCCGTTTTCAATGTTCGATCTTACACTAGGAAACTGAGGTTGGAAAAGCAGTGGACTGTTTCCTTTCTCCTGTGAACCAAGAGGCGGAAAGGACTTTTGTTTTGTTTTGGTTTTTTGGTTTTTTGAGAAAAGGTTTCTCTGTGTAGCTTTGCACCTTTTCTGGAACTCACTCTGTAGCCCAGGCTGGCCTGGAACTCACAGAGATCCGCCTGCCTCTGCCTCCCGAGTGATGGGATTAAAGGCATGCGCCACCACCGCCCGGCTTGAAAGGATTTTGTATTCATTACCCACAGGATGGACTTGGGAGACAAAGGTTATTCAAGTTCAAACAGATCAAAAGCTCAAGTCCCCACTGAGGACGCTGGGGTCAAAGGGCACCTGCCCTCTGCCCCCAGCTCTCTAGCATTTCATATTGACATTGCGGTTCTGAACTTGCTGAAAAGAGCCAGATCGTGGACTTGGGGAAGGGAATGGACACAAATGAGGCTCATTTTAGGGGGATTCTTCGCCTGTAGCTTGTCTCCAGGCTACCTAGAGCTGACCTAGAGCTGTCATTGCCCCGTGGGACAGTTATGTTTCCTAGAAACTCAGATTTCAGGTCACTCGCTGCTCTGAGGCTAAGACGCAGCTTCTTGCCACTTGAAATCTCTTCTCGGTAATATCCTTTTGCTGAGGGCCGTGTTCTCAAGGCTAGATAGTTTGTAGCTAGAAAGCCTTCATCTGATGAGTGATAGAGATGTCGCAGGATGCCCATCTTGCCTCATCACACTAAGACTGAGGAGGAAATGACCTCTCTCACACCGGGGTCTTGTCTGTCTGTCTGTCTGCATTATCTACATGATAAAGCTGTAGTGACCTTCTAGCCAGACCTCCTTGGTACACTTGAAACTCACAGGATGCAGCCCTAGGTTGCAAAGCTGAAGCAGTGTGATAGTGGAGACATCACCTGAACACAGAGAGGGCCTATGTGCCATGCATTGCCAACAGGTGGGACAGACACACTAGGACTTTTAGGGGCCCTGGATGGGTTTGCCATGATGGCCCTGTTCCCCATGAAAGTAAATATATTAATATCTGCACCTTTGGGTTATTTAACAAGCAAATGGCACCATTATCTATCACAATATTTCCTTTCTCATGAAAATTCACTGCTTCTTATTTGAAAACATTTTATGTGTACTCTGAAAGTTTTGTGGGATGTTGACCACCTGTTGTACCAGACGGTTAAGCTGTCCATGCTAACAGCAAGCAAATGTCTGTATCCTCGGGATGACCTTGGGAGGCTGCATATTTATGAATACGAGTTATTTTATTACTCTAAGTGGTAATAATACATGTTACAAATGGGTGTGGTTCATAAAGTGGGAGAGTTTAATTATATAGACAACCTACATGTCAGTGTCTCAGGATTGGCAACAGACTCGTCTATGAAGGCATTGACATTCCAAAGTCAAACTCAAGACATTGGTTTTAGGGTCAAAGACCAGAGGTTTTTATAAATATTGAGGAGTTGTGGCCTTTGGTCAGGATCCTGCTTCAAGTAACCACAAACTTGGGCAAAAGTCTTCCTAGGCAAGCTGTTTCATTCTGTGCGGTGACTCCCTTGTCTCTAGATGAAAGCGATTGACCGAAGCCCCATTGAGAGGATGAAACGAAGTGTTTGCAAAGTTCTTCATACAGTGCCTGGGATACTGTATGTTTTCGGTGTTAGTTACTGTAATTGCCATTATAATTGCCATAATTACCATTATGAAGTTATCTTATTCGACAGACAGAGAAACTTAGGATTCTCCATCATTTTGCGAGGCAATCATTTTGCTAAGTTCAGACAGGTAGTTAAGAAAAAAGATGTCAGAGGTTAGAATTAAGCAATAATTTGTGAAGAGAAGGAGTGGGAGGTAATATAGAAGTTTCAAAGGTAGTTCAACTATAGTCGTCCTTTTTATCCTACTCTATCCAGCACTGGATATGAACTATGCCCTTTCCAGCATGTCAAACTCTACATGCTCCCTTCCTGTAGTGACTTGGCTATCACATCAACTGTCTTGTGTTGCTTGGTTTGAGTTCCAAGAACCCTTTCGTAGTAGCCGAACGTGTGGTCACAGTACCTGCTTTATCCTCACATCACCTCATTATGTAAGCGTTGTATCATCTCAGATCACCACAAGAAGGGTGACTACAGTACAGTACTGAGATAGAGAGAGGACGTTCACATAATCTTTGTCATAGTACATGTAGCAATTACTCCATTTTACTATCACTGCTGACGTCTTACTGTGCTAATCTATACATTCAGCTTCATCATAGGTACACATACATAAGAACCGTAGTCTATAACGGGTCTGGTACCGGCTGCAGCTTCAGGTACCTGCTGGAGTCAGGGAACATGTGTCACGGCTAGGATGGCTTATTGTACCGATCCTTACCAAACAAAGACTGCTGGAGACAAGGTACGTGGAGAAAAGGCCAGAGATAGTAACAAGGGCAGCAGGCAACTGAAGGGTGGCACTTAGCTGCTCAGCAGTGGACTTTCTCTTCTGATGTTTAGAGGAGGGGAAATCGTTCAGTCACACAGCAGCACTGGCCAGACCGTATCTAGAATGGCTAACATCTTAGTCTGGAGACGACCATAGGAACAGCATAGTTTGATCTTATCATCCTGCCCCAGCTCCCCAACACAAGCAGATTACAGCTGGATGCATCGGACCAGAAAAATGTAGAGAGGAAAACATCACCCAGAATATAAAGGTAATGTGGCCATTTTAATGGCACCAGCAATAATAATGGTGTTAATATTACCATATTTGGTGCTTTTAAATAGAAAAAAAAAGTCCCTTTTTTGTGGTTTATATTATACCACAGTGCAGCTACTGTCTTAATCAATGGCTGAAGAAACTGAGTCTGGTTGCTTTGCCTAAATCACACAACTAAGTTTTGGGCGTTCAGTAATAGATCTTAGATCTGTGCTATCGGTTAAACTCTTAGAAAATTGACCATAAAAAGTAGTAAGTGTGGGCCAGAGAGATGGTTCAGCAGGTTGGGGGGGGGCAGTTCAATAACTGGGACCCATGTGGTAGAGAGAGAAAGTAGACTTAGTAAGTTGTCCTCTGACCTCCATACACTCTCCATGGCACACACATGGTCCCCCCAACAACAAAACGTAATTAAAACAACAATAATTGTATTTGTTGAGCTACTACTGTTTCTTTGGTCCTGAGGCAATGACTGGTCTCACAGTTTCCCATGTCTCTGTCACAAGGTGTAGATTCTCAGCCCTTGGTAGTTGAAGAAACTCAGACTCACTTAGGGCATATGACTTACTCCTGATTTTAATTTTTGTAAGCCCAGTTCTTACTTAAGGTTTGTTTCAGTTCATGGGACAAGATCTTCGTGCTTGGTACTTGATGATTGGCATTTGAGTGGATATAATTTTAATCTTTAGTCACTATTAGCCTGTGTGGTAAGTAAGTACAGACTGCTGTAAAACAGGACCCAGTCAGACTAGAAAGACAGCATCATTTATACAAATGAGCTGAAACGTAGAATTTTCAGCAATGAGCCTGAGACGTGAGGAGAAACAATGGTTGCCCTTCCTTATTGATCACTGTAAGATCTCAGGTGTGGGGCAGTGAGGCCTTGAAGGTCTAGGCTAGACAGCGTCAATCTTTGCTTTCATCTGAAGATCAGAGGAGCTTGCTGGCTGAGCCCAAGTAAGAATGCCATTATCGCTCTGTCTCAGTGGCTTTAGGGGTCTCCACACTGCTCTCTGTTGTCTGTCCTTTTGGGGGTTTCAATGTACACAGGGTTGGATGTAACACGCTCTGCTTCTCAGAGAAAGATCAGATTGTCAAGACTTAGAGACAAGCTGTGAATTGGTCTTTCATGCAGAGCATGGTTCACAAGGCCAGACCTCAGCCTTACCCCGTTCCCAAGGACTCATTCATCACAAGGACTTGCTGAGATGTGAAAAACAGCCCTCAGTTCTTTCCCCAGCCATTTTCCACACTGCCTTTTGTGAGCCCGAATATCTTGGAAGATTGTGGGCTTGATAAATAAACAATAAACAGTATTTTTTTGAGAAGGGAAGGTTTCTATGAACCTCCCAAGTCAAGTTCAAAGTTTTAAAGGCCCCTGCACTGACTGATTGCAAGCATCTGGGGGTGCTCTGTTCAGAGGGCAGCTGTCCATTCACTACTGTTTTGTGGCAGTTAGCTGGAAAAGACCTACAATCATCCCTGCAGGGTAGAGTTGATTAAACAACCCATGACACTTGTTTCCCTTATAGACTACCGTAAAAGTACTTATGAGGCCTTGCCCTGCCCTCTGAATTAATCACGTCCATTTTCTGTAGGGTTCCTCTCTGCCACAGTCCTAAAAAATATCCTGGCGTCTTGCACCATTCTCCCCTAGTTTCACAATGGACAGACATAACCAGGGAAGTATAAGCGATTATTTTTTGGTCTGGTTTGGTTCTTTCAAAGGAATAGATAAATCATCATGCTACGTGATGAGAAAGGAAATGACAAGTTTTTATCTTTTATTCAGGTAGCCTAAATTTACATGAGACCACAAAAAGTTCCTGACAGGATGTTATTGATTGCATTCACCCAGCTGGGGCTTGAGATGGGTCTTCCTGCCACGTCACGGGGCACCCTCTTCCTCCCATTCCTGCCCATGAGTCAAGTCTGAGGTCCTCTGCGTCTCCCATGAAAGTGGATGTTTAGGATAGATATCTCAGGGCCTTGGACAGATTTCCCATCAATCATTCTCCCTTCTCATCATCAATACCCTCTGTTGTTGAATGCTCCGACTGACAGACAAAGGGAAGCTCAGTCATTGTAATAACTATATTTATTGAGTACCAGTGTTCCTCATGAATGATTAGTTTATATCAGCTCACAATCTTCAAACCTCCTTTCTGAGGGAGGGGCTCCTTTTAATCCTCATTTTAAAGGTGAGGAAGTTAAGAGCCTGGCTTGTGGTTTAAGGCAAGGCAACCCATTCTCCTCTCCCACTTCCTTCCCTGCTTTTATTCAAGCCCTAAACATTAGCCCTTACCTTGTGCCTAGTGAGCTGTGTGATGGAACTGGAGCTGACAGCAGACAAAGCCTCTGTCCTCATTTGAGATTAACCAATCGCATTTCTTCCTCGTGGACTTTTCCCAGACACCTTGACCGGCTTTCTAGCCTTTCTAAGTGATAGTCTCAGCTGTGTTTCCAGTTGGATACACCTGAGCTGTTTCAAGATTCCAAGTTTTATATGTGACTTAATGTTCCTGTTTGAGGCCTCCCTGTCCTTATTGGACATCTCTTTCCCATGCCCCTCAGGAAAGCTGTTGCAAACTCTTGCCTCCTGTGGACAGTCGCTAAAGTCAAAGTTACTGATATTTCCTAGACTGTGCTGCACACACACAAACACACAGAGATGGGGGAGGGGGAGGAGAGAGAGAGACATATTCAAGAAGAGACAGAATGACTGATGGTGATCAAGATTATTGGACTCAGTTCAAGAAGAATTTTTTCCTGATAAAATCATCATAAAAGGTGGATTTTTTCAACAGAAATGCTCTCAAAGCCAATCCAGGTTTCCCTGATGAGGTTTTCAGTTTGAGAGTGAGGCATCCGACCCTCTAATCCGTGATCTTGAGGCCAGTCTAGACTTAATAAAACATTGGCTCCTGAAGAAAGCTTCTAGATGCTTTATTTGGGAGCAACTAAGTTTACAACTTCTTCAGCTTTTACCACTGTTACCATTCCTCATTCCGGGTGATGTAGAAAGCCATGGGCTGACTGGCTTGGTCTGAACCTACCACACTGGAGAGCAACTGGAAATAGATTTAGTATAGAGATGACGGGATGTGAGTTTATGGTTTTGGTCACTTCTGTGTTATCTCTAGTTATGTGCTGGCATATTTCTTCCAGGGAAATTTCCACTGCCCAGTGTGTTGAGACCTGAAATAGTGACACAGAAATTGGGCACGGAGGGTCTGTCTTCATACTGATGTGTTTGAGGCTCTGAGCACTAGGTGGGAGCCAAGGAGAAGCAAGATTGGAGACAGAGTTGAAAGATGGTGCATGTAGACCTCTTCCAAATCCTCCAGGTCAGTGGCAGGAACTTGACTTCAATTTGCCCCCAAAATATAGACTGTATGCCATTAATAAAGACACAGGTTTCCAGCAACTGTTAGAAGAAAGACCTTCTTCTCCTTCTTCTTCTCCTCCTCCTCCTCCTCCTCCTCCTCCTCCTCCCAGTTCTTTCCATTAAAATGATAAAATTATAATCATAGAAAGAGCAAAAAGTAGAATAAATATCACCTAGGTGTTTCAGGTAGTTAGTAAAAATATATTGGGGCTAGAGAGATAGTTGAGTGGTTAAGAATGCTCACTGATCTTGTAGAGCAGTGGTTCTCAACCTTCCTAAAGCTGTGACCCTTTAATATAGTTCCTCATGTTGGGGTGACCCCTAACCATAAAATTATTTTCATTGCTACTTCAAACTGTAATGTTGCTACTGTTATGAATTGTCATGTAAATATCTGGTATGTAACCCTCAAAGGGGTCATGAGCCACAGGTTGAGAATCACTGTTGTAGAGGATCAGGGTTCTATTCCTAGTGCTCACATGGTAGCTTACAACCATCTGTAACTACAGTTCCAAGGGATCCAGTGCTCTCTTCTGGTCTCTGCAAGAACCAGACATAAATACCCATGTGGTGTATTTACATACATGCAGGCAAAACATTTGTACACATAAATTAAAAGTAAATAAACCTAAAAATAGGTTATTATTTTGGAATTTGTTGTATTGTAGCATTTGTCAGCTTTTACAGTTTGCAGTTTGTTGGGATTTCTTTTTGAATGCTCAATAAATATTTACTTTTGTACTTCATTTTTTTGTTCTTCAAGGAGAACTCTCAAGCACGTTTTGTCTTTTGGAGGTCTGACCCCTACCCTACACAGGTACCACTTAGTGTTAAATGAAGTATGCAGAGGACATGTATCCTTTACTAGCCTGTGATTTTTCTTGAATCTCTAGACCATTAAGAAAGAGTTTTCACTGTCAGATATTTATTACAACTGTCTCCGAGGCACTGGCATGTAGTGTTTTCTTTGCCCTTTGAATAGATAGGAGAAATCCCCAGTGTGATATCAGAGTGTTCCCATGCAAAGTTCATTTTTCATTTGTATCATGGGCTATTGGTTATAGTATTAAGGCAACACCACATAGTTAAAAGGGAGGTTTATTTTGTGGGGTAACTTACAAGTAAAGGGATAGGTGTAGCGCAGTCCGGCGGTGTTCTCTGGAGAACTCTGCTCGATCTACCTCCAGCATCCAGGATCCAGGAACCGGCACATCCGGATCTCGGGTCTTAAGGGCTCCTGTCTCGGCCCCCGCCTTGTAGGCGTGGCAGTTACCAAATGGGGGTAGTACTTCCAGGTCAAAGCTGGAACAGCTACCCACTGCAATGGACCCTTGAGCATGTCTACTTACTTTCTATAGTATGTTCCCCCTGGCTCCTTTGGGTCTGGGGAGTCAGTGAGATCAGAGCAGCATCTTGGTGGACTATGACAATAATTCCATCCTATAGATCCAAGTGTACCAGGCATGGATTTATCCACAATCCCTTGTTCAGAATTAGCCATATTATCTCACGCAAGGAGACCAAGCAGCTGCAGACACACAAGTAGAAGCACTCTTCTCTAGGCTTCACTATACGTGTAAAAAGAAAATGATAATTTTTGGTAGGTAAGAATGGTCTCACCAGCTGACTTGAGCTCATAAACCAACAACTAGGGAGCCTGCATGGGACCAACCTAAGCCCTCTGCATGTGTGTGACAGTTGTGTAGCTTGGTCTGTTTGTGGGATTCCTAGCAGTGGGATCAGGACATGTCCTGGCTCTTGAACTGACTTTCGGGAACTCAATCTCTGTACTTGTTTGCTACATCCAACCTTGATGCAGAGGGGGAAGAGCTTGTCCTGCCTTAACCCATGGGAGGCCTGCTCCTTTCTGAATGGAGGTGGAGGAGGGGTGGATGGGAGGCTGGGAGAGGGAATGGGAGGAGAGGAAGGAGGGAAAACTATGGTCAGTGGGTAAAATAAATGAAAAAAAATTAATTAAAAAAAAAGAATGGTCTCACAAGGGGATTGCCATAGTTGCCCAATGCATTTTTTTTTTTGTAATTGGATGTGCTACTGTGCTTTGGTGGAAAGAGAGAAGGATTTGGAATCAGAATAACTGGATTTGTGTCTGTTCCAGAATATTGCTTATTAGCTGTGTGACCTCTCTTGAGACACAATCTTTCTGAGCATCAGTTTTATTAACTATACAAGAGGGCTGATAATAACGTCTGCCTCACTTAGTGCAGGGCTTATTTTCATGGTCAAGTGAGATTAAAGACCCAGTTTATTGTACTTAGTCAGATGCTATACAAATATAAGTACCAAACATTTTTTTCCCCTTTGGTTCAGCCTTGTTGGATGTTCTGGCTGAAAGATTAAGTGAAGATCAGTCAAGGTGACATGCCACATTTGCCTGCCTATAAAACAGATAAAGATGATGATGTCTCTGTAACTAGGAGACCAGACAACCTTTTCAGTCAGTCTTCTTCCAGAGACTATTGATTGAAGGTGGAAAGGTGTACCCTGATACATGCACAGAGGTAAAAGGACAGCTTGCAGGAGCTGGTTCCTTTTCATGGGTTCTGGGGTTCAGAAACTCAGGTTGTCAGGCTTGACCATCAGGGCACCTGCCCAACACTAATCTACTGAACCAGCCCTGGTTAAGTGCTTTTGGGGGCACATGGCTCTGTCCTGGGTTTTGGAAGAACCTCTCCCAGGATGCATGCAATGGATAGTTTAATGTCCTTACTTATTTCAGTGGGATTCATGATTTGTGGGGAAATTAGCCCCACTGATGAGAAGCCAAGTGAGTTTCTGAATTTATTTCTTAAAGTCCTTAAGGGTGACAACAGAAGATGAGGCTTTCTGGAAGGGCTTGGACTCTGAGAGGTAGGAGTTGGGTTGTCAGTGCAGAGTTCATGCTAAACCCTGGAGTGGGAGGGACTAGCTGAGAGAGGTGGGTTTGAATAGCAGGTATCCAGAAGGAGGAATTGAGGTTAGAGGCTGGTGAAAGTACTTGGCACACCCTCCCCCCAGTCCTTGTCCTTGTGGCCTCTGGGGACCAAAGCTCAGGGTGGATTTAAGGCCTTGTGCAAGCCTTCCTGATACAGCCTAAGCATAAGTTGGTTAAGGCAAGGCCCCACTCAGCAGAAAACAAGGCAACAGAAAGGTTTGGGCTGAGAAAGCCAGAAGCAATATCCCATAGGCCTGAAGCCCCAAGACATTCTAGAAGGCCAGAGACATCTCCCTGAGATGAAGGAGATGACTGTGGCCTTTGGGGGTTTCCACTTTCCAACACATGAAATTCTCAATGGCTGCAAATATGAATCCTTGCCTTCTGTTTTTCCTCTCTTATCTGTAGAAGTCAAACAGTCCCAAAGCCTCTGGACTCATTTGTGTGACCTTGAAACCATCTATCTGAGAAGAGAACAGGAAGTAGAGGACGCCATGGCAACAGATAACCGAAGCCAGCATGGAATGGAGCTAATGGGCAGGGCTGCTCTCAGTGAATACTTCCCAGTAAGCCCACAAATGGTCGGTCACCATCTGTCCTGATTGGCTGATGTCAATGTTCTCCTACTCATTGAACTGACAATCTTGGTCTGATATCTGTTGCCCACTGCTCGATGCCAGAAAGTTTCATAGACTTCTTCTCCCGACTTGGCTCACCATAGAGAGGTAAGAGAAGAAGTAGAAGGGATAAGAAGAAAGGAGTGTCCTGAAATGACAGGAGGTTCTTCCCATGGGGACTAGCATCAACCAGAAGTGACTGGGTTGATGTTGATCATCAGACTGTAGTTTCTCACCAGCATCTTATGAAATAATTTAAGTTCAATCTAGTGCAATGAAGAGCGCTCCATATTTTAGCATGCAAAATCCCAAACTGCTGCATCGTAAGGCGTTGCATCTAAGCATCTTCTCTTGTATGTAAGTGTTAAATGGCTCTGAAGGGCTCTGCCATCATCATCTGCTTAGGAGGATGAGAAGACTGGTGTTCTATGATGTGAGAGGGTGATGGTGTCATGCCCCAGTCGAGTCTGACTTACCAGCTGGCAAAGGGGACATTATCTTTGTACTTTTTAGAGATTAAGAAACGCTGATAGAGACCCCGTGGCAGATGAGAGGCCAAACCATATGTTTCTTCCACATGAATTAAAATCAGACCTTTATTTGATTTCAAACAGGAGAAATATCGAATCCAAGAGTCAAATCAAAACCAAGCCAACTAAGAAAACAAGAAGAGAGGCCAAAAAGAAAGGGGAAGGAATTAAAAGAGTAAAAAGCAAAGGAAAAAGAGAGGTGAGAGATGAAATCCTGAGTGACTGTGTTATTGCCGCGAGCATGGCCATAGAATGGCAAGGCTTTCTCCTGAGCCAGGCTCAGAGGAATAGCAAGACTTCTTCTGGTCAGAGGTCTGCCATTGACAGTGTGTGAACAAAGTATCCACATCAGTTTCCTTCTCCAGGATGACTGCAACCTGTTGCTGAGTTCCTACGGAGACCTCCTACTGAAATGAGTTAACCAGCCTCAAAACGGCCTCACTCCTGCCTTATAGAATAAGCACACTGAATTTCTAGGCTGCTCTTGGTGCATCTCCATGGAGCACACAGGTCACCTCATCACAGCTTTTGGTGTACCTGTCTGTCATTTCCTCATTCCCTTTTGCCCCAGTTAGGTCAAGTACAGATCATGGCACACACGGGTTGATGTCTCTGTTTTAACACAGAGTCAGTAAAAGGAGCTAAAATATTCTTCTAGAAAAGGAATCCTTCAACATGTCCACAGACACAATTTCAGAAGTTTTAAAGATAAATATTGTTCAAATTTAAAAGCAATAGGCAGATTTAAAGGGATTTACATGCCCCTTAAAAATGTTTCCTTTGCCTGGATGGGGTAGGATTAGGACACTGGAAGTCTCTGATTAGGGATCTAGAGAGATGAACAATTGGCCTAGAGATGGGCATGCTGTAGTTTATACCTTGATGTCACCCAAAGACCCATGTTCGGGCCTTTTTAAAAGCTTGGCATAGCCCAGAATGCCAGTAGGTGGTGGAAACTTTAGGAAGTAAGGCCCTGGGGCAGAGAAAATAATATGTATTATTATATATAAATATGTAAATGACTGCCCTGTCTATATAGACAGTTTTGTTAAAAAGATAATAACCATAGATTTGTGTGGTCCAGTCATTTGTCAGTACGATCCAGGATGACAAGAGGTGATGCTTACACATCAGCTTATTATTTAGTCAGTGCTTGAGAAAATTCTGTGTCATCTCCAGGCACCATAGCTTTCTATGCAGGCTCAAGAACAGCTTCTCTTTCCAGACACAAATGGGGCATCTACCACACATCCCTCTTCCAAAGTCTCAGGGAACATTGCAGAAGAGGTGGGAACAGTGTGAGAGTGTTGCACACTCTCTGAGAGGGGTGTGGAAAGTTGACTTCCAGGCAGGACATGACTACTGCCTTCTCTTACTCAAAGGAGTTGTGATTACCTGCGGAAGACCGGATCTGTCAACAACTCATCATGGGGGGAGGAGGAGCTCACGAGTCCCCATCCCTCTATGAGGATGTATGATGCAGAGAGAAGAGACATTTTCTTTAGTGGTGGTAAGGCACACATGCTCCTGTGATCAAACTCCCACCCACAGTCCCTTAAACAACCCTAATGGAACACACACACACACACACACACACACACACACACACACACACACACACGGAGACATGAATGAAAGTCCAAAGGGTGGTTGGGAAGAGGAAGGGCATCACTGCAGGTAAGAGGGAAACAAGAAAGGGTGAATCTGATCAAAATCCATTCCATACACATACGAAAACCTCACAACGAAGCCCCATCGTTATGTATTAACACATGCTAAGGAAAACCTTTAAGAAGGATGACGTCTCTGTGTTCTTCGGTGTCGAATGTGCTGAGGAACATCTTCCACGAAGGAGAGGTGAAATTGCACAATCACTCATGGTGTAGCTCTCAGCGCTTTGTATGTGTGTTGAATCTCTCTTCAGATCCCCGACAACTACTCATTTAGTCTGGTTGTGTCATAGCTCATAGCACCCAGTCCTCCATGGTGCTGGCCCGGAACAGTGACCTCCAAGAACTTTATTATTGATTGTCATTTGGCTGCTCTGTTAATGATCATGAATGCACCTGTGCAGAAAAAATGCAAAGGCAAATTCATTTCCTGCCCATGTTGAGCTCACTATCAACATTTGAACTATGAACTATGAATGTGTAATAATGTGTGTTTTCAACTACATCTTCTCTGGGATACTTTGGGTTATATCACTGCATTCCTAGAGATCTCTTTCAATGTTGACCATAGGAGAGGATCCTCAGAGCCCATCAAGAAGAGTTTTCACATTGCCGTGAAAAGACCAGTCTGGAAAAATGATGAGGGGACATGCATTGTAAAGATCCATGGCCATGCGCACTGTGGAGCAAGTCTTCAAACACCTTAGAGTTGGAGGCCACTCCTGACCACCTAATGTGACAAGGAGCCTGTCATAGGTGGGGATGGTGGAAGAGTGGATCAGATTAAGAGCAGCAATGGGAGAGGGAGGGAGGGAGGGAGGGAGGGAGAGAGAGAGAGAGAGAGAGAGAGAGAGAGAGAGAGAGAGAGAGAGAGAACTGATGACACTCCACTAGGGGTCTATAGATGGGAGACAGTATTGTCTTGGGAACACTGAGAGACATATAATGGCAGGTCCAAGCTCAGGTAGATAATAAATTCAGAGCCCTGAAGTACCTTATGTCCAGTGTGACTGAGTCAAATCAGAATGTCAGCACCACTGTGGAAGCTAAATCTGAGTCCAGTGGGCTGATCTGTTCACAGACGAATGCTTACAACAAGGCCTGGCTACAGGCCTAGGCAATCATGGAGGTATGGAGACCAGGCTTCTTTAAGGCATCTGGTCAACCTCACGATGGGATAGATAGTTGCAAAGTGCTGTGAAGAGAATCAGTGGAGGAGGGGAGGGGTAGAGCCTGTGCTATTCACAGTATAGGGTCCTAAGATCCAAATGGCATATTGGTACTAGAAGATCTCAAGCAACTGAGAAAATATACATAGGTCTGTGGGGTGCTGTTTAGAATGTGACAAATGGATTTGGAAGCATTGGAGGTGCTATGTGTGGATTACCAGACCTGACTTGGAGCCAGCCCTTCATAACAACAAGTCTGCCTGTATGAGTGGCATAATTTTTCAAATGACACCAGCTACTAGGAAGTCTATGCATGTGTTCATTCCCTTCATTCACCTGTATACACACAGACATTTATATGGAAATGCATGTAAGTATATATAGTTCATGTAAAATAAGATATAATTCATATCCCATATTTTACAAATGTACATATCAGGATAGGTATTTATACCATTCACACCTGTGTCTCTCCCATTTTGTCGATGGATGTGGTCGTCTTCATTTGTTTACTTAATTTTTTTCACTTATGAAACCTATTCTGTAGCAAACAAAGTTTCATGTTTCTTATCTAAATGAGCCACTTTATTTTGAGAAACGACCCTCAGATAACACAAACGTTCATTTCTTCACTTCCCAGGAGAACAGGACAGGTGTGATGCCGAGTACTCGGCTCTCTGTCTAGTCATAGCTTCTTTCCAGTTGACAACTTTTGTGTAATTTGGAAATGATCTTCGTCTAACCCTGTTCATCCAGCTTGAACTTTTCTTTCAGTTTACAGGGCTTCTTGCCACATTTTCATTAGAAAAACTTCATAAAGGAAAAACTTGAGCAAATAAAGGAAATGAAAACCCCAGTGGATGTTGTGTAAGAATAGAATCGTATCATTACTCATGAAATATTCTTTCCTATAAACAGAATGAGGAACCAGACTAAGAAGCATTGAGTACTGTTTAAATATGCTGAAGGGTTGGAAACTTCAGCTGTGAGAGCAACCCCCGTCGCTGCTCAGGTTTAGGAGGCATCTCTTTCTCATTCTTCACATCCACTAGAATTTTGAGAAGTGACACAAGAGTAGGCTTTGAGCTTTGTGGTTCTAAACTCAGTGTCAACAGCAAGAGGTAGCTGGAAATATCTCGTATGAGTGGCAGTCGTATCACAGGTTGAACGAGGGAGGGTAGAGGGACGGGGCAGATCACATGGTAAGGCACCGGCAAGGGTAAGCCTTGAGTGCTGAGCCATGAGTAGTGGATCTGGTGGAATGTCTCCACTCTAGCTGACACCTCAGCAGAAGACACACATTCCTTAACCACAAGAGGGTTGGGTGGGTGGATCTCAGCCAAGTCCCTTTCTAGGTATTGTATATAGTCTCTTGGTACAATCTGCAGCCACCCTGATTGGGGATGCCAGCGCCAGAACTCCACGTTGCATCAGCTGTGGCTGCATCACGGTAAAGCATCTCCTGTTGCTGCATCATACTTACCTTTCTCCCCGATAGGGGCCTCCTGAGCACACATTCCAATAAACCTCCTGCACACAGATCTCAACGCCTCTGTTTTCAGGATGCCCACCCTGCTTCAGCTATCATTCAGCTATACAGACAGAGAGCAATTTTTCATAGCTGTCTAGTTAGACTGCAATATTGGATTGAGTGCAGGGCAAAATGAGACGGAGGTGTAGAAAGGACTCACTGTGTTGGGTGAAAGGGCCAAGTGGGAGGATCAAAGCGGGCAGGGTGAAGAGAGGAATCACAAGCACCAAGGCAGACATGGCTCGTTTGTGTCAAAGTATCACAGTGTCCTTCCTGGTTTCTTGGAGCCACCATTACAAGTAAGTAGCAGAAAGAAGCATGCTTATTGTGAACTCTCTCTTCAGATGCAAACACCGTCACAGTCTTTAGTTGTTTTACTCAAGAATCAGAAAGTGGAGTGGATTGTCCATCTGAGCAACCTTCACAGACATTTTCGAACGAGCTGCCAAAGGCTGGTGCTACAGGCTCATCCTCAAGAGCACTTGCTCCCGTTGGTGGGGAATCCACTGTGCATTGAGAGTAGGTGTGCCACCTCAAACCTCATGACTCAGCCAGATGGGACCAAGAAACCACGGATCGGATGGGGCAAGGGATTTGCCTGGGGAGGAAAAAGAGGGTGGAGATGCTATTTAATCCCACATTTCTCTAACTTGGAAGCCCCAGCCATGCAGGTCAGATGAGCTGGTCCCACAGAGCCCATGATCTGGGCCTCGTGCTCTGGGGCCCTGACTCACAGGCCTGTGTGGTGACCGAAACACGTGCTTATTCACCCTCTTCAGTCATCTGTTCAAACTGAAGCAGTCATTGGACAGCTCAAGAGTTGACCCGGGCTATTTCCTCTTTAATAACAGCGATAATCACACACACACTTCTATTTTTAGAGTCCATGGGTCCCTTTCATGTGTCATGTGTGTGGCTCACAAGAGACCGCAATGAGCAGCACAGGGCACTGTCCCCGTTCTAGAGATGCAAAATCGGAGACCCTTGTGTCCATGCCCATTCACCTCAAAGGGGGCAGGGTGCCAACACTTCCCTTCTGTTGACATTTCTTTCTCTTAAGTCACTTGTGTAAGCAACTGAGAGAGACTCAGGATCTGTGGAGATATATAACCCCCTGCCCCGTGTGTGTGTGTGTGTGTGTGTGTGTGTGTGTGTGTGTGTGTGTGTGTGTGTGTGTGTGCTTGTGCATGCACGGGTGTGCGCAAGTATATGCCTGGGTCCGTGTAGAGCCCAGACATCATTCCTCACTCTCATTCCTCAGGAGACATTCACCTTGTTTTCTATGCATGTAAGGCATTGGTATCATACTTATCTTTGTTTACCTGTCCCGTTCCCCTGCACTCTGGATGACCTTCTTTTTTCTTCCCACATCCTTCTCCTCCTACCTTCCTATCTTTTTGTGTGTGCAAGTTGTGTGCAGGTCAGCCCTGCTGCTGCTATAAATATAAGTGAGGATTGAGTGCTCCGCCCTCAGCAGCAGAACATCTGTGTCACCCTCTCCAGGGCCCAGAGAACATTGCAGAAAAGGCAACAGAGAGACGAGGGAGCCGGAGGATGGAGAAGAGTGCTGCGACACACTCTCTTCTGGATATGACGTAGCTGTTGCAAACACCATCTTTCACATGGATCCAAGACTCATGGATTAGGCTGGGATGGCTGGCCAGCAAGCTCCAGGGCTCCACCCCATCACACCTTCTCCTGCTCTGGGATTACAAAGATACCTGATTTTATATTTGGATGTTGGGGATCAAACTCACATCCTCATTCTTACTCAGCAAGCACTGTACCATCTGAGTGATCACCCCAGCCCCTCTTTCTTTGACCTTGGTTGAACTGAAAGCTTCTGGAAATATACCCAGATTTGAAAGACTCATCAGGTGAGAAGTAAAAACGGCACACTGAAAGGGATTAAAAACAAGGTCGACCCTGTGCAGCTTACTCGGTAGACACCAGCAGTTGGCAGAGTGTAACTGGCTATAATTATCTCTCATTATCATTCTGCTCTGGTATTTGATTCTCCTTCATATCAAAGCTTGATCTTTTCCCTTCGTGTCACAGAGGGTCCTTTCTCTAAGCTCCCCTGGACTGTCGTTTAAAACGGATTATCATGTCCCATCAGCGGAAGAACCCAGGTTCCTAAAGTGAGCGCCGTCCTTCAGTGCTTGGGTGTTCCATATCTGTGTGCTTGGGATCTTGGTGCTCTTATCAGCGTTTCTTGACATGCCTCATCTTCCTGCTGTCATTCGACACAGTCACGAATTCCTAAGCACTGTGTATTTTCACTGGTTCCTGATCTTGCAGTGTACGCCACGCTCCTGAGTACAGCCATCCTGCTGATCGTGAAGATGGGGACTGCACTGTCACTGGGACCCTGAGTAGCCAGAGATGGGACAGGGAGAGGAGGGGCCGCGCAAAGGACAGGAGTGGACCCGAGGACATGTTTCTCTTGGGCTTCGTTAGGCAGCCCACTTCTCTGTTGAAACTTCCTCTTTTTTTTTTTCCTCCCTGTAAATGAACTGTGTGAAGGAAAAATGACCTCACACATTATTCTGCTTTCCACGAAGTAAAAGATCGTGGTGGAAAATTTACAAGGAAATCCATTCGATTTCTCTATTTCTCTCGCCGTATGATTTTCAGTATGACTCAACCCTAAGACTGTCACTGCTAAGTAGGTCCTTATTTTCCTCATTTGTTTTTCCAGACACTTTATTTAGCAGCTTGCTAAATATAATGCCCCCTCACCATGTGTTTAAAAAAAAAAAAAAAACACAGATTAAGGAAGAGACCGGAAGTAGTGATGAGATCCCTGAATTCACACTGTAAGCTATCAGCAGAGACACGGGGCAGGATATGAACAGAGAGCAGCTCCTTCATAACCCCGCTCATGGAGAGTAGATCTCAACCCCCTCCAGGGTGAGGAGTTCGTCAGAACTTGGCAACCCAGGCCTTCAGATCAGTGGTCAGCAGACCATAGCCCAAACTAGCCAGATGCTTGCTTTTCAATGGCCCGTGAACTGAAAATGGTTTTGCATTTCTATGGGATTAAGAAAAAAAAAAGTCAAAAGACACGTACTATTTCCTGACAGATAGCAAATCATGTAAAAGTCCAAATGAAGTGCT